ATGGACAATAAATTGCAAGACAAATTTGGGACATGGAGAACAGATTCAAGTGTTATCAAAGTGGAAATTCGAATACTCCCTTTCCCTGCAACAGGTGAAAGTGAGCCATCTGCAATTTTGACTTTGAGGTTACCAGCACATGGTGAATATGTGGTAAACAGGTGGTAAGCGTCTGTCATTTGATCTGACGCACTAGAGTCAATTATCCAGGGAACTTTGGGTTTGACGACAGTGTTTACGGCCTTTAGAAACCCATCTGTGTGGGCCAAGGAATTTGATGGGTTAGGAATGAATACATGGGTTGACCCGTTGGGTCCTATGAATTTGGACCCATTTATCGTTCTTTGTGAATTAACATCCATTCCATCTAGCCCAAATTTATTAGGCCCAATAGCATCTGCTAAACATGCTAAGACTCCATTACCAGGTGGCCCAANATTCCATCCTGTCCAGATTTATTATGCCCAATAGCATCTTCTAAACTGGCCTAGACTCCATTACCAGGTGGCCCAATTGATTTATTAGGCCCAAAACATGCCAAGACATTAACTCCAGACGGCCCAGTTTCTGTGTAATTCTCTTTGGCCTTCCTCTGTCGATGTTCGTGATCGATCTTCTGTGGGAGTTGGACTGGACGTGCGCCAGATGGAGAGGACCCATGGGTTGACTGGACGGTCCCATGGGTTGACTGCACGTAGCCGGAATTTGAAAGGTTTAGGCATCTCTTCGCACCCTTCGCGACTGGGAACTGTTGTGTGATTGATTCAGAGTCGTGATTTGTTGTTTGGAACGAATTGAAGACATGGTTGGAGTCGCTTGAGGTTGGGCAGTCGACCGGTGGGAAGTTCCGATCACGGTGGTGGCCGGCGGTGACGATTCCGGCAGTTTTACCATTTTCGGGAAGCTCGTTGTCTGAATTGATTCCAGCCAAAAGGTAGGCTTTTTTAACTGAGGGTTTTTTCATCGTGACTTTGCCGAGTTTAGAATTACTCTGGCTCTGATACCATATTAACAGAAACGTAAGAGATGAGGATGAATTATTTCTGTATATTCCTCAATAAATTGTTACAATACAATGAATCCAATTTATAATAATTCCTAATCTAAGAAAAGGAAAAGTTTCCTAATCTAAATAAGGTAAGCAATCAATAACGATTATATCACATAATACACGAGATTTCTATAGTTCCTTAGTGGTGCTTTAGCGGGGGCCATGACCTAAGCCATTCTCACTCCTCTTAAGACCATCAGGTTTTCTGTTTCCCCTTCCCTGATTCTGGTTCTAGTTGTTTTTGCATAATAGTTCAATTGCGATACATTATTTGATTAAGCTTTTAAAGGACAATTCATGTCAAAACCTTAGAGGCAATACGCTGGTGATTAGAAATTCAGGAACATTTTCTCGTGGTACGTATGCCAATTTACTTGAAATGAGGCAGTTCATTTTTGCGGTGTGAATTTATATAGAGTTCCATGCAAGCGTGAATAATTGCTTAGACATGGTTTCTGTCCCCTTCTGTCCTGTTGAAACAAAAGTTGACTGATGAAAATTTATTCGTAGCATTGCAGTATGTCAACTTCCATTGGCTTAGAATCCATTTCTTTTTCTCTATTTCGAGAACTTTTAATGCACTTCAATTTAACCTCTGTATAATAACTTGCTTCCTTGGAACTAAGTTCTACCAGAATTTTCAACTTGATTTCAAAATCAAGATAATGCTCTCACCCTCTTTAATTTGCTTCTTCAAACTGGCTTTTCCAGCTTGTGTTTACTTGAAGATCATTGATTTGAAGGCAGTATTCTATTGTGAGTGAATGCTATTCTCTTTGAGAAACCTAGGAAAATGTAAAAGCACCACTGACAAGTTATTGGTAGGGCTGTCAATGGATCGGATATGGACCGAATCTACCCATATTTGATCCGATCCGATAAGAATGATTCATTGATCCGATCCGATTCAATAATCCGACGGATATTTAATTGTTAAATCCATATCCGATTTGCTATGTTATCGGATATCCGATCCGATAATCCGATCCGAAATCAATAAAAATTAGAAAAAAAAAATTTGAACTAACTTAAGGCCCATGTTTTTCCTAGCAAGCCCAATA